GGTGTGGTGTCTGCCACACCCAGGTGACAGAATCTGTCCCTGTTGACATGGTGTGGTGTCTGCCACACCCAAGTAGCAGAATCTGTCCTGTTTTCAGGGTTGTGGTGTCTGCCACCCTTGGGTGTGGCAGACTCATTTTTTAGAATTCCAATCTGTTTGGGATTATATTTTGTTATAAATAGAGACACGTTTTTAGGGTTTCTTTGGCTTTGATTGGGCTTTGATTAAGTATTAATTGGGGGATATTTAGAGCATAAAAAAGAGGTTTTTTTGAGCTATTGGTTAGAGTTTTATTTTGGAGAGAATTAGAGATTTGTTGGTGAGATTAGTTGGTTGTTTTGAGTGATTTATAATCTTAGTTTGTACTCTTCTTCTCTATTAGTGAAAACCTCATCCCTTTCTTGTCCCGTGGACTTAGGCAACTTGTCGAACCACGTAAAATTCATTTGTTTGTGTTTGTGCCGTTATCTTGAATTGTTTAGCCTTCTATCTCGATGTTTGGTTCGGTTCCTCGAAGCACAATAATTTGACCGTCGTGCACAACAAGTGGTATCAGAGCTCGGGATACGCTTAGGCTATTTGGAGGAGTAGATCGTTTTGGAAGTTTGTCTAGGGCTTCAGTTGGTGATAAATGAGAGATTTTTACTATTGGTGATCTTGTCTACCGTCGTGTGGGGGTGAGATCTTTCAGAGGCTATTATTAGAGTTTCAGTTGGAGGTAAAAATCTCTATTTTTAGTTTGGATTTATTCTTTGTTTGTTCCACATTGGTTTGTTGGTGCTTTGAGATAAATGGTTGAGAAATGAGTTATGGAGGATACTTCCGGCGAGAAGACTGTCCAAAGTTTGAATATTTACTCTATGAAGATAAACATGGAGAAGTTTAATGGCACAAACAATTTTGACCTTTGGCGATACGAAATCTTAGATGCGCTCAACGCGCAAGATTTAGAGGATACATTAGAGTTGGACGGGAAACCAGACGACATTAAGGAAAATGTTTGGAAAAAGATGAATAGAATGACGTGTGGTGTGATTAGATCTTGTTTGACTCAAGATTTGAAATATGATGTGATCAATGAGACTTCGGCTAAGAAGATTTGGGAGATCCTTAAGAGCAAGTATTTGACCAAGAGCGTGAAGAATCGCTTGTATTTGAAGATGAGGTTTTACCGCTTCCAATTGAAGAAAGGAATCTTCATTGGTGATCACATGAACCACTACACGAAGCTTCTTACGGATTTGGCGAATATAGATGTGATGATTGAAGATGAGGACAAGGTGGTGTTGTTGAGTTTCTTGCCTGACGAGGAATATGAGACCTTCATTCTTACTCTTATTAGTGGAAAGACATCTCTTTTGTATAGTGAGGTCACCGTTGTACTTGTAAATTATCAGTTTCGAAGGAAGGATAATGAGACTTCAGTTGAGCCGGTAGCGGGAGCATTGGTCGCAAGAACAAAGAGTCCAAACCGAAATAGGAGGTCACAGTCTAGAGGAGCACATTCTGGAGTTCGTAAGAATCAGTGTGCTTTTTGTAAAGAAGATGGACATTGAAAAGTCGAATACCCAAAGTTGACAGATCGAGTCGGGAAGAATAAAGGAAAAGCTACTCAAGCTTCAGAGGTGAATGTTGTCAAGGCTAGTGGTGACAATTCAGATTCTTCGAGCTACTCGTTATCTGCACTACCGTCAGTTTGTGTTACCGACTCTAAAGAGTGGATGTTGGATTCGGGTGCTTCATACCATATTTGTCCTAGGAGGAATTGGTTCTCCAGCTTTCAGGAGTTGGAAAGAGGGGATGCCGTGTTCATGAGTAATGATCATGAATGCCCTATTGGTGATATCGGTACCGTTCGTATTAGGATGTGTAACGGGGTGATTCGGGAGTTGAATGAAGTGAGGTTCGTTCCTCAGTTGAAGAAGAACATCATTTCACTTGGAGTTTTGAAGGCAACATGCTATATGATGACCTTAGAGGATGCATGTTTGAAGGTCACATTTGGGTCCATTATTGTGAGGAAGGGCATCAGGAGGAAGAATTTGTATTATTTGATTGGAAGCACGGTGATTGGTAGAGAGCTGACGACTTCTTTAGATTTGGCTAGACTGTGGCATTTGTTGAGGCTGGGGTATTTGATTGGTTGTGCGGTGCATGGTTTGTTGAGGAGTGTTTTGACCTGCAGATTGAAGTCCTGTGAGCACATTGGTATGAGCAAGAAGACTGAGTTGGAGTTTGACACTTCTATCCATCAATCGAAGTCTTTTAGGTGGTGTTCATTCAGGCATTTGGGGACCTTCCAAGGAGGCATCATTGGGAGGTAATCGATATTTAATTTTCGTAGTTGGTGATTATTCTAGGTATTAATGGGTTGTGACCAAGTTCCGTTGGTTTGAAGTCCTAGAAGTCAACAATAGGTGGAAGAAGTGTATTGGCAGAAAGGTAACCCGTCGTTCTGGTTTTGGTATGGGTCCTTTATTGCGTTTGTGCCGAGCTCATGGCAGTTTGAGACACTTCATTGGAGAGAAAACATTGGGGCGACGAGATGAGATGTCAAATTTGGTAATTGATATTAAGTTTCCGTAGTCGGTGTTTGATGTCGCGCATTGGTTTTGGTGTTCGGGCTTCGACATATTTAGGTCATCTTAGTCATAGGTTACTGACTGCTGCGTTTGGAGATTTAGGATCTGGTGGGGCTGTTTTAGATTTTGGGTTGCGTCGGATATTTGGTTACCCAGTATTTTATCACATCGAGGATATGAGATTTGATCCGATTGCACATTTGGGATTCAGAGACGTGTTTGGTTATCAGGTATTGGCTTCTGATTTTGTTCTGAGCAGGTATGTCACATTTGACTTTCGACAAGTGGAGAGTGTTGATCAGATCATTGGGATATCACAGCGGATGGAGAGTCATGCTACTCCACGTTGGGTGGAGCTTATTCTACAATACTCTAAATTATACTGCATCGTTTGGAATTTCAGCTGAGGTGACATAGTTTGGAGATCATTTGGATTTGGATGCAGATGATGAATTGATTTTGGATTCAAGTGCAGCTGGTGGACATAGTTCGCATTTGGTTATGACCGTTGGTTCACCTCAGGTGGATGTGTTTAGATTGTTTCACTTTGGGGCCATTTGGAGAGCTATCAACCGCAGATTTGTTGATGATGTTGGAGAAGGGTTGCGAACTCTTCTAGTTGATTGAGGGTATTTGGAAGCCGTCTGGTAAACTACGTGAAAGCTTAATTCCTTAGGCAAGAGGATACGTAGGCAATCATTTATAATGCAACCGGTTTAGTGAGTTGATACCGATATTTGGAGTTTGTTCGCATTCTCGTTTGGGTTCTCGACTTGTTGTGGATTGAGTCTGTTGTCGTGGTTTTGTTCCACTTCGTACTGGACGCAACAAGTGAGACGTTTGATTTGGTTGGTGTCGGCTCAATTTTGGGAAAACTTTATTGAGATGGAGAATTGTGAAAACGGCGAAGGAATTTGAGAAAAACGTGAAAAATAAGCAAGACAGACTTCACCACACCTTTGTGTGGTGTCTGCCACACCCAGGTGGTAGAATTTGTCTCTGTTGACATGGGTGTGATGTTTGCCACACCCAGGTGTGACAGAATCTGCCCTGTTTTCAGGGGTGTGGTGTCTGCCACCCCCTGGTATGGCAGACTCGTTTTTTAGAATCCCAATCTGTTTGGGATTGTGTTTTGTTATAAATATAGACACGTTTTTAGGGTTTCTTTGGCTTTTATTGGGCTTTAATTAAGCATTGATTGGAGAATATTTGGAGCACAGAAAAGAAATAGTTTTTAAACTATTGGTTAGGGTTTTATTTTGGAGAGAATTAGAGATTTGTTGGTGAGATTAGTTGGTTATTTTGAGTGATTTGTAATCTCAGTTTGTACTCTTCTTCTCTATTAGTGAAAACCACATCTTCTTCTTGCTCCGTGGACGTAGGCAACTTGCCGAACTACGTAAAATTTGTTTGTTTGTGTTTGTGCCGTTATCTTGGATTGTTTAGCATTCTATTTCGACGTTTGGTTTGGCTCCTCGAAGCACAACAATTTGGCCGCTGCGCACAACATGAAGATCTACGAAGATATAGTTGATAAGCTAGATAATTAGGTTAACTTTTTTAACCGATGAGTGAACAGTATTGTTGGATGAATAGTAATGGATGAACAGTATCTCGGCGGATGAACAATATTGTCTAGGGTTTGGTTGTGGAGGGTGACGGCTACAGTTTAGAAATTTGGAGAGAGAAAAGAGGGTGATTCTGATATCATGTAATTAAGAAAACCCTAGTGAATTTATTAGCTCCCTCTAGAATGTTATTTATAGTGTTTAAGGAAATAAATAAATTTGTCTTTAACCAATGTGGCACTAAACAATAGTAAACAACTAACTACTCTCAACACTTTGGAAGAAAAACGTCAAATGAGATTTGCCTTCTGATTACCTTCCACTTCCACTTGGACAAGATAAGATATTTTAATTAAAATAGAACATTCTGTCCATAAAATGTCCGACTTAATATTCTACTTTTTAATGAAGATCTAAAGTAA